ATTCTTCGAACAATTACTTTAAATCATAATTACGTATTTTATTTGTTTTATTGTTAATTGTTGTAATAACACGAAGAAACACTTGGTTTGTTTCGCTTTTAATTTCTCGTATTATCAAAACATAGTGTTCGTTAAATCGATTTTTCTCGAAAACGGATCGAGATACTGAAATGAAACAAGAGTACATAATTAATGGAAAAATGATAGCTCTTTCAGGTTTTGAATCAAGTTTCATGTTAAATATACAGGGTAAAAAGTTATTAACTAAATTTTCGGTAAAATTGGTCGTAAGTGGCGCCCTCTATGAGCAATGCTGAAATTACAAAACGTATCTTATTCGTCGCCTAAAATAATATAGTTTCACAAATTTTCAAGTTCCTAACCTACATATTTTCAGAATAATCCAAAAAAAATCGATTTAAAATTTTAACTTTCAACACCCTGTATTTCCGGAACTATCAACTTTCGGTTAAGGCATGTTTGCGCCAATGGTCATCATTTCACGTGTAGTATCTGCAGCTTTCGACTTTCCCATTGTTAATGAATCACCCTGTATAGACGGCAAACGTTTGTTACGGCCGGTAAAGTTGCAACACAACACATTGCTTTGTACAAATCGCACAGTCTTATCTGGGGCAGCTAAATACGTTTCTTTTTAGTTGTACGCCAGGACCGGCCTTCAAGATTTCGAATCCATTTAAAAAAAAATTCTTAGATAATTCAAGACTTTCATCAATGCAATAATCGTAGGCAATAAAATTGATTGTACGAATGAAGGTGATTGATTACCTTACATGTGGATATATTTAAAGACAACTGGTTTAGCATCGCTTCAATTTTTTTTTACGTCAAAAATGATGTTACAATTAAAAAATGTCAAAAATCGATGTTTTTCTTAAATTTGTTGTCAATTTTATAAAGATAAATGAAACTTCATTAAGCTTTCGGAAAATACTTCTCAATTTATGTACATTAAGCCTCCGAAATCCGCTGTTGGACAGATGAGTCGTTGCTTATTGACGATTTTACTTCAGACTTACCGGAAACTTTGGAAAGATGGTTAAATTTCTCTAGATCTTCCATCTTTACAAAACTTGGTCAGTACATAGTGTAAGACTTAGAGAATCTAGAAAAAACTTTGATTACATACAGGGTGATTCAAATTTTAGTACAAAGAATTTAAAGGCGTATTTTTAAGGTCAAAATAAAACTTTTTTTTGAAACCTCAAAAGCTCAAAAATTAATAAAATTAAATTTTGCAAAATGACGTATAACTGTCAATAACTCAGCAAAGATTTTTAGAAAATTGGCAACAGTTTTAAGAAAAACCATCGATTTTTGCCATTTTATGTAAATTGCAAAATTATATCTGGAATAAAAGAAATTGGAGCGATGCTATTTTGTACAAAATTTCATTATTTCATTTATAACAAAAATGATCTCTTACAGATTCTTCGCAGAAACGAGATATTCAAGCATTTTTTGCCATGTAAATTGTTAATAACATTTTAATTTATTGTTCTATAACATATTAGTCAATTTGTAAAAAAAATGCGGTTTATGGAAATTTATTTGCTTTGCACCCCTCTCTACTGGACTAACAATAAGTGCAGATAGTAAGAACAAGGTAAACTCCACTTACGCAACTTCTCCGCATCCGTAACCGCAGCAACCGTTAACAGAAGGATAACACCGTTAACACAAAAACCCATGATTAACGACGAATTGAGAAATAAGTCTTGAAATTCGAACCAAACCGTTACTCTCGCGATCTAGGAGAGTATATGCTTCGTTTGCCCCCTACTATTTCTTATATACCCTCCTCGTGGTCATTCAGATGTGTATACGATTACAAAAATTGACGATCTTAGGAGACGCAGATACGTACGAAGCAGTGGCGGCTCGTTAGAGGAGGCTTGGGAGGCTAAGCCTCCTGGTTATATGACGTTTCGCCCCCAGCGTTTATCTCCCACTGTTTTGCCCCCCGCAATCATCTTTTTCTATCTTTCCTGTTTTTCAGATTAAAAATATAAATAAAAAAATGGTTTATTTCCTTATTTCATGAAAGCATATTTATTTATGGGGGCAAAACGGTCGGGGGCCAATCGGCACTGGGGAGGAAACGACGGGGGCGAAACGGCAGGGGCGAAACGGTGGGGGCGAAACATCACCATCCCACGCCTCCTCTGCAGTTTTTGATAGCATTACAAAAGTTTTCTTTTAGTTTTTTTATTTTACATCATATAATTGTAAGATTTGTGTATTTTTCGTAAGGAGAAATAAAGGGTTGAAAGGGGTAAGAAGGGTAGAAATCGGTTGTCGATTATTACGTTGAAAACATGTGAATATTTGTTATTTATCTTGCGGGCGTAAACATATGTGTAACTAAAGCAAAATGTAAATACCTCACAATCAGACAAATACGGCCTCTTGTCGGGGCAGGTCAGGACTTGGCTATTGTGATGGTGAGATGAGGTGATCCTCTCTTAGTGAATGGCCACTATATACGCCTGTAAATGATTGGAAAGCATACCTGAGCACCCTATTATCTAGTTAATAAATGAATCAATGATTACCGGATCCTTCGCCTCTATTTGAAAATATGACTGTGTCTATTTAACATTAAACATATACAGGGTGTGATATATCTACTGCACAATCGATAAGCAACTGTGATACTTACTACTTATCACCAAACTATTCTGTATATTAAACATATAAACAAATCTAAGCATTTTACTACCAATTAGCCTGAGCGACTAATCCACTAGCACCTGAGCGCCGCGGAGTACCGCGGCACCAATTAGCCTGAGAAGACCCCAGCGACTAACCCACTCGCAGCCCAAGTACCGTGGCCAAACATCACAAGACTCACTCAAAAGCATTATCCATGGATCTCTGCACTGTCAGTACTGACGAGCAAAACAGTAAAGTGCCTCAAATGCATAGACAATTTATTCACATCAAATGTCATTAAACTTACTAGTAACTGACCAATCAATTGTGCAGATTTAGCACCTCAATTCATAACAGAGAACATAAGAAAGTACACATCATAGTTAGGTGATGTACAAAAAAATCAGCATTTATTTTCAACAATATCTCCCTCAAAATAATTAATGAAGAAGACATGTTGTGACGTCACACCACCTGTTAGCGGCTAACCCACATACTTAGCTTGGTCTCACATACATACATTATATCGTCTGTTTTCCCACGTAATAACGCAAATGAATGTTGCCATTTTTGCTAGATTGTACGGGAACACGCAAAGGTGAAACTCGGTTTTGTCATTTTTTGTTAGAACTAACAAACCTAATTAAAAAAGAAAAGTCGATTGGTGTTAGAAGAGAATACGGGATTATTTGCTTTTAGCTTATAGCTCAGTGTCTATTTAACCCCACAGTTCCATATTTGCACCAAAAGAGTACATTTTTAAACTATGTACCGCTGCACAAATATTATTTTTCAAAAAAAATTACTATACATTTCTTGCACCATAGTCTTCAATTGGAGTGCTTAATATAATGATGTGTACAAAAATGGTTAAATAAAGATTAGCGTTAAACTGATTCTTTTGGCACAAAGATTTCTTTAATTAATGTTTTGTTCTACAAATGAAAAATATAAAGGAAACAGGAACAAATTTAAACTATACCACAAACGAGGAAAAAACATAAACCACAAATACATAATAACGACAATAGCTAATGCTAATAGTGCATATAGTCGTCGAGTCGACCTAATCGAACGGTGTGACGTCACAAATGCTTTGCGAACGGTTTGAACCGTTTCAAATATCTATTTCACCACATATTTAAGGAGTTATGTGCTTTTAGAAAACGCAAAAACGAGTTATAAATTAAATATTACTGAATGAGCACATTATTTTTTTAAATTTTGATTGTTTTAGGCCTCAGATTGTACGTCTTATCTAAATATGCAGAGTTTTCAACATACAAATGATGTTAGTGTTTCGGATAATAATAACCGCGGCACGAGGCTCTAATTTACCATGCCTCGTCCCATAAACATCGAAAAACATCACGTATAACATGGTTATTATATGCAAATTGACCATATTTGTGCCAGCAATCGTCCGTCGATAAAAACCTGGGCGTTATTATGCTGTTACATTTTTTGCCCCTGTATTTGTGCATGTACACAATTATACAAACGTACTTTCCCCACTGTTAATAGCCGTAGAATACTTGCTCATCGAAGAAGAATTCCTTTTCACTGTCATTAACAATTTCTTAACTCGCTTGACATTTAATTTTCAGTTCAATGACTAAAAGATCAGCTGAATAAGCAATTTGTTGATGCAACACGGAATATTTGTGGGAAAAATGATTATTTTTATGTTAGAATCTTCTCATTAGTATTAAGTAAATCTGTCAGGTGAACTAGAAGTAGGTACATTTTTTTTCAATCCATCTAAGGACGTATGTTTTATAACACTGTTGACTATGTCCCAAACGATAATAGTTATAGTGTAATGAAAGAATGTTGAAGGTATGGAAGCGACGAACTCTGTATATGTTATTTTAATTTTACAATTCAGGTTTTTTTGTTGCAAAAATAATTGGTTTTTGTATTCAAGTCTGTTAAGACAGCTAGTTGTATCCTGTAGGTTTTCAACATTTGGAATATTAAATGAATCATCTGCGAATGCTGTGAAAAAATTTGGCATGTAGTTTAGTTAAATCATTTGTATATGACATGAACAGAAGAGGGCCTAAATCATTTCCCTGACGAATACCATACTGGTTAAGTAATGCATCGAAATGAAATAAAAAATAAACTAACTTTTGATATCATCGCATACTAAAACATTCAATAAAATGTCATGATCCACAGTCATATGCCTTTGACAGAATCAAGAATTAAAGCAATAACTTCATGATTTAAATTCTAAACAAAATGGAATATATGTCTATCAATGCAAATATTGTTGATCCATTTTTTTTAAGCCATGTGATTTTCCACATATACTATTTACAAAAATGGATTCTCTAGGTCGAAGATTGAAAGTTTTAGCAACTTTTGATATGTTTGGAACTATGTCGAAAGTTCATCATTGGCACACAAAACTATCATTTTCAAATAGTACAACCTTGTTAAACAAATCAATACTTCTACGCCAATAAGTTTTTAGACATAATATAAAATTATATTTCTAATAAAAAATCTCCTAGATTTTTTTTATAAAACGTGATATTTTCTTATAAATACAATTAGGACATGTGGCTTTTAATGGTACTGATCGACGTATTTGGAATCCGTTAAGTTTCATCAGGCTATGTCAAAAAATATCCTCAGCACATTTGGGAAAATTTATATTTTATAAATTCAGTAGGTAGTCTTTTATCTTGAAAGTGAAACATTCTATGACCCATATTCATATAAAACTTTTTCATGAGATTTTTTAATTAAAATTAAGATCACTCTGTATATGTATATGAAAACATTAAAAAATATCTGTTGGGCGGTGNCCTATTTGTATAAGAGTTTACTTTTAAAATTTTTAAAATAATATATAGAGGATATAAGTGAGAAGTCGTTTGCATACGATAGATGGCGCTATAATCAGTTCACAAAGTATAAAGTGTTGCCTACTCATTAGGAGCTAAGTAGTAGTAAGCTTCCAAAACGTTACGTGGCGCTGTTTCGCGGTTTATTGGCAATATTAGGAACATTTCATTCTACGTTAATACTATATTTTCTATGGCTGTGGGATGCCCTGTCTGCAGATAAAATAGGGTGTGGCGGAACATTTTACTCTGGTGGTGCCATCCCGTATGAAGGTGGCAAACTACTCGTCGTTTTTCAGTGTTGCCTATAAGTTTCCCCGGGCTGATTTTCAATTTACTCTTACATATAAGTTTCCCCGGGCTGGGGAAGAGGCAACTAGATCCTGTTTCTCGCAGCTCCCAGCCTTATATGGGATCTCAAACGCTGATTATTATCAACGTAATATACTGTAAGTGATCCCGTCTATTCCTATTAAAAAACTTCACCTTATTATTCCTGTAGCTCCAGCCGAGGAAAACAGCAGCCGCCATGTTTAATAATCTTGTAAGCAATTAAAATCCACTTTTTGAGTCTTTGGGATTTACAATCCCAAAGAAGCGTGTACTAACACAGTACAGTAAATAGTAACATAAATAATTTTGAATAAAATATTATTACTCTTATTTTTATTTGAAAATCAAAAAATACCACAAAAAAAGACCCATGAAACATAAAATTTTAGTTTCATCAAACTTGGTTTAATCGTTAGTTTAGGCAAAAAGAAATAATATTTCCTAAAAAGTATCGGTTTAAAACAACAAGATCATTGTTTAAACAATAGTTATAATGTAAAAATTACCAAAAATGGAGTTTTTTAGTTGTATTAAAAAGTGCTCTCCAACAGGACTTTGCTTTTGTTTATGCTTATAGGTTTTCTAAAAACGCTTCATTTGAGACCTGCTAAATTAAAATCCATTAACGATTCGTTTAAATAATTGCAAAAAACCAGCGAAATTTGAATTGGCTATAAATAGAAGAAAAGAGCATACGTCGTCTCTAAACTGCAGTAAAAGTTGTAGTTTGTTACGCTTAAGAAACCCTGAAAATTTGGTAAAAAAATATTTATTTGTTTACGAGTTTTTGCATTTGTTTATTAGAAATAACATTTTTCAATTGCAAAAACGCGGTTGTTAGCGTTATAATAAAGGGCCTTATGAGGGCTCATTTGTTTCGTCTTGACTTA